ACTAAACTTAAAAGGAGGTATTTCCTCATCACAAAAGGTCACCAACATGCATAATAGAATATCATAAAAAATGACAGCATATAAATAATTTGATCCATAACAAAGTAATTTTTTAAAATAAAAATGACTTTCTATTAAAACGTACCTGCCTGCAGGATCTACTTGCAGAAGCAAATGAGAGAAATGCTGGAATCGGAAGAAAATAGGAAAATATTACCATGGTGAAAAAGTAGGAAATAGAGGAAAATATTTATTACTACTACTACTATAATGATGATAATGATAATAACATATCAAAAATTTTGACGGGTTCTATTTTTCTTTTATTTTAAACGTTACCTTTCCCTTTTTTTTTTTTGCTTTTATGTTTTCTGTTAACAAGACACCCAATCATTCTGACTCTAAAAGCATCTATAATGGTGAACATCTTAATGCGTTTTTCCAAATACCACCTCAGTCTCATTCATATGATTTTATTTAACTTATTTTTAAGAGACTCTCATAAATTACACCTATATTGTTTTATTTATTTATTTATTTATTATTTTGAACAAAGTGTCAAGGGTGAGATTCGAATTTCGAACCAACTAAGGGAGGAGGGACTGCACCTTCAAGGTGGTCCGAAGGACCAGATGCCTATATTATTTTATTTAACTGAAATTATTATATATATTCATATTATTTTTCAAACAAATAAATTAAACGTGGTGGAGACCACATTTTTACAAAAAAAAGAAAAAAAAAAAGGGAGAGAGAGGCTCTTGCAAGAGTACCGGTCTCTTACATTATAGGAGACTCCCTCCAATGGATAATCTTCTATTGTAGACGTCTGCAACGGCTGTGAGAGACCCTGCTAGAGATGACTCTATGTATTATTGGCAGGGACAACGTGAAAAACAAAGAAAATACTCCCCTATATCAAAATAAAATGTTGCTTTTGTAATTTTATCGTCATATTAAGAATTTAAGAATAATTTATATTTTTTTTTACTTATATTACTCTTAAAAAGTAAAAATAAAGAGATATTTTTAATATTGAGATAAGGTTAAAATAAAAAATATTTGTTTCATTTAAAATATGACAAAATGACTATTATTCTATAACAAATTCTAAATAAAAAATCATTTATTATTTTAGTG